TCCTCTTGTCTGTCCCTTGGCTCCCAGCCTGGGGGTCTGGGGACAGGTCAGTGTGGTCTTCCTGCCCCGTCCCCAGAGCTCGGCTCAGGAAGCACACACTGAGCAAGGGGGTGAGTGGACAAGTGCCCGCCACCCCCCGTGCCCTCCGGTGCTCACTGACCTTTTCCAGGGCCTCCTTCAACACAGGGAGCGGGTGGGCCAGGGGCACAGGCTCGGGGTGCCGGGGACACATCCTCACAGGGGCGGAGGTCACCTCTGGCCCCGAGGAACCTGGAGGGGACATCACATGGTGAGTAAGGACAGAGGTCAGGAGGAGAGTCGGGTCACCCTGGAGGGGGTGGTGGCAGCACAGCTCAGAGCCATGTCCTGGGAAAGTCCCCCCCAGGAGCCTGGCCAGCGCCCAGGGCCCACCAGCAGGCCCCGAGGGGCAAGGGGCGGAGGAGACCCATCCACACCCGCCGCCCTCTGCTTGGCCTCGGAGGTTCAGTAGGCCACAGACCTGGCTGGCGGCCACTGAGCCCCTCCTCTCTGGCTCAGCCAGCTTCCTGCCTGGTGGTCACTCACTGAGCTCGTGGGGGCAGCCTAGCTACTTCTGTCTGTCTGTCTGTCTCTCTGGTCCATGTTAGGGTGGGGAGGGGCCTTGGAGCCACACTTAGGCTCCAGGCCTAGCTCCTTCTGTCACCAGACCTGAGCCAGGGGGCGGGGGCCTGCGTCCACTCTGCCTCTCTCCAGGCGTGGCAGCCCCGCCACCTCAGGGGGGCAGTAGGCGTGTCGGCAGGGCCGGATTCCTGGGCTCCCAGACCTGAGCTTACCCTGTGAGGCCAGTGTGGGCGGTGAGGGTCTGAGGACCCCCGGGAACCACCTCTCCTGGCCGTCCACGGCCGCCTGACACCTCCCCAAGCTGAGCCACGGTCCTGTGGTAGGATCAGCAGGGCCACAGTTCTGAAGCCCCCCTCCCTGGTGCTGAGGCTGAAGGCCAGCCCCCTGCCACCCAGCCCCACCCAGCCCTCTCTGCACTTAGGAGTCTGGCTGCTTTATGACTCCTTAAGGCCAATGGAACGAGGGCCATTTGACTTCCAAGCAGAGACCAGGGATTTCCTCCTGGGAGACCTCCTGCCTCCTGAAAAGGAGAGGCCCGGGGAGGGAGAGGCCTCTGTCCCCACTGGCTGGCCTGCTGCACGGAAGGAGGCCCAGGTCGCGCCAGCCACTTGGCTCTGCCAGCCCGAGTCACAGAGCCAGTGAGCCTGGGGAGGTCTGTCACTTCAACAGGAAGATCACCTGGGGGGGGGGGGGCAGCAAGTTCCCAGCACAGGCCAATGATCAGAGTCGGGGCTCAGTAGAGCCGGGATTTGTCGGCCTGGGGCGGAGCTGGGGCAAGCTTGGCCTCTGGTGCACACACCTGAAAAGTCACCTGGGATCCTAACATGCAGACTTGACCCCCTAGCGCCGCGCGGGGTCTGAGAGTCCTGCCTCCCACAGCCGCTCAGTGACGCCCGTGGAGGGTGCAGACCTGAGTGGCGAGGGCTGTGAACCGTGGGCCTCCCACTGGTGACGAGTGGGGACACAGTGGGAGGGAAAGGGCAGAACTCGGGGCAGTTCAACGGGGCCATTCGGTATTTGCTGAATCTACTAATAAGAAACTCGGCTTCCATTCTGGGTATTGTTTAGTTTTCCCTAATGGTTCATTTGTGCTTTCTGGCAATGTCAGTCTGCCAGGGAGTGGTAAGATGGTGGCTTGAGAAGCATGGCCCCGGGGGACAGGGGACGGGCCAGCCTGCCCACCCGGGGTCTTTTCATCTGAGGAACTGAGAAGCCGCTTATAGAGGAATCAACCCTGGAAAGAAAGGGCTGCGGTGGGAGGGAGGAGCCGCCCGTGAGGAAGAGGAGCCAAGGCGTAAGATCTCTGGTACGTTGGGAGCCGTGGCCCTCACTGAGCTTGGGGGCCTCTGTGACACAGGGTGACACAGGCATGGAGACAGGCCTCCCCCACTCCAGAGACCTCCCCCACTCCAGATCCCTCTAGGATCCCAGCAGGTTGGAGTTCCCAGGGTTGCCATGGCAACAGAGGCGAGAGACGGCAATGGTGGCTCCTTCACTGGGCCACAGGGCTGACCACAGGGCTGGGCCCATGGCTGGGCCGAGATCCCGCCATGGTGGCAGAGCAGGGGAAATACTGTTGGCCCTTTCGGGACCCTGAGTCTTACCCTGACTGGGGGGCTTGAGAAGCCCTGGTGGATTAGGGGAGGTCTGCGTTTCATACAGGAGAGCGTCAAGGCCCAGAGAGGTCACGGAAGTTGCCCAAAGGTGCACAGTTCCCGAGGCCTGGTGAGTGGGAATGGAGGCCGGAGCTCCTGAGTCTAAACCTGGGTCCTCCCTGCGCCCTGGGCTTGGCAGCAGCTCAAAGCCCAAAGGACCCCTGGGGACAGGAGCAGGGGCCGTACCGGTGTGGCACTCACCAGTCGGAAGCTTGGGAAGCTGGTACTGCCACAGGAAGCAGCCAGTCATGACCACGGAGAAGAGGAAGAGGAAGCCGCTGAGGGCCGGGAAGAGCCACCTCCTCCGCACTCTGGGCAGCTGGGGCCGCCAGCCAGCCTAGAAGAGCAGGGACACGGCGGTCACTGCACCCACCACTCCTGCCTCAGGTCCCCGCGGACGTCGTGAGCATCCACAGCTTCAGATGACCCCAGCCCTGGGATCCAGGCCCCCCCCTCCCCCGGTGGCCCCTTCAGCTCCTGGCACAAGGCCCCGCTGCACCCTGGTGGCAGGTTCAGGAGATCTGGAGGAGGAAGCCCCGCGGGGCACAGGCAGCAGGCGGTGTAGACATGGGAGAGCAAGTCCTGAAGCCGTGAGGGAGAAGAGGCAGTGGACAGAGGGCCAGAGTCCTGGAGGGGGAGATGGTTGCGCTCTCACAGGGCCAACTAAAGGCCTAGGTCCCACCTCCAGCCTCTGTCCCAGACCTGGGCTAAGCCCCTTTAAGAGGAGTGCCACAGCACCCGCCCGGTGAGAGAGGCACTGTGAGGGCCCTTATGTTACAGACAAGGCTCAGAGAAGTGACTTGCCCAAGGTCACACAGCCAGCAGATCAGGGATTTGAACCCAGCACCCAGTCTCCCACCTGCTCAACCAAGGTTCTAGAAGACCCTTAATGGTCGTTGGTTGAATCATCTGATTTCCAGGTGGGCAGACGGAGGTTACAGGAAGGAAAGGGCTTATTACACACACACACACACACACACACACACACACAGCTCTATGCCCAGCTCTGAATTACGTCCTCATCCCTTTTTGTTTTGAGACAGAGTCTTGCTGAGTTGCTGAGGCTGGCCTTGAACTTGTGATGGCCTTCTGCCTCAGCCTCCTGAGCTGCTGGGATCACAGGTGTGTGCCGCTGCCTGCCTGGCTAACACCATCTTAGTGGACCTCACCACCTGCTCACAAGGCTGGTTTGGAACCTCTGTTTTATAGGTGATAAACGGGGCTCAGAGAGGTTAAGCAAAGGAAGTCTGTTCTGCCCAACTGTCAACCCTGTGTCTGACAACATGCCCTCCTCTGAGCCTCTTTGTCCCTGTACTTTAGCATCTCTTTATTGAGCACCTACTAGGTGTCAGGCACTATTGGAGGCCACAGGGTTCAGCAGTGAACCAACCTCAGGAATAGGCACCCCCAGGGAGCTGGAGGGGTGGTGCCTGAAACCTTCTCCCTGGCTGGCCCGCAGCACAGAGGAGGCTTCCTCTCCACGCGTCAGCGTGTCTCTGATGCTGACTCAGAGACTAGCACGTAGTAGGCCTTCAGTAAGAAGGCCTACTATGTGCTCAGCACTGTTCCAGGTTATTTATAAACATCACCTCATTTGATCCTTGCAATTGAAGACGAGCAGGTACTATTATTTTCCTGGTTCTTAAGATATGCTTTTGAACTTCACATTGTCCTGTAAGTTGAGAGTCTTGGGTTCCAATCTCAGCTCTACCTCCTAAATCCACCAATCTGGTAAGTCCCTCATATCTCTGGGCTTCCGCCTCTTCAATTGTTGAAGAAGAGGACTGGGCTACTTGTGAAGAGTTTATTTAGTTATTTTTGTGGTGCTGGGGATGGGACCCAGGACTTTGTGCACACAAGGCAAGCACTCTACCAACAGAGCTCGGTCCCCAGCCCAGGAGTTTATTTTTCCATCTGGAAATCTCACTGAATTTCAAAAGAATCGTCCAGCTCCAGAATTTGGTATTCATGCTGAAGCCTTCTTTTTTATTTCCCCAGTGCTGGGGATGATTGAATTCAGGGCCTTACTCATGCCAGGCAAGTATTTTACCACCAAGCCATTATTTATTTTTAATTTTCAAAGATAAGATCAACCCAAATGTCTGAACTGGGGAATAATAAACAAATATGCTGTGTCCATACCATGGAATACTACACAGCAGTGTAAAGCGATGGACTTCTGGTATGTGCAATAATATAGATGACTTTCAAATGCATGATACTAAGTGAAATAAGCCAGACTCAAAAGGCTACAGACTATATAATACCACTTATACACCGTTATGGAAAAGGTCAGATTACAGGAAGATAAAACAATAGTGGACTGGGGCTGGGGAGGCTACACAAAAGCAGAAACTGGGGCTAGGGCTGTGGCTCAGCAGGTAGAGCATTTGCCAGACACGTGAGGCCCTGGGTTCCATCCTCAGCACCACATGCAAATAAGTAAAATAGAGGTATTGTGTCCCCTTACAACCAAGTGTGTGTGTGTAGAGAGAGAGAGAACAGAAGTGAATCGGGGAGTTGGTGGAATCGTTCTCCATCCCGTGGAGGTGATTAAGAGACTGTATGCATTTGTCAAAACTCATAGAACTGTGTGGACTTACTGTTTGTAAATGCCTCCGTGTTTGTTATTGTTTGTTTTTAGTTTATTTTTGCAGTAATGGGAATTGAATCCAGAACCTCGTACATGCTGGGCAAGTGCTCTGCCACTGAGCTGCGTCCCTGACCCTTGTGTTTGGAGACAGGGTCTTGCTGGGTTGCTGAGGCTGGCCTTGAACTTGTGATCCTCCTGCCTCAGCCTCTGAGGCAGTTGAGATCACAGGTGAAAAGCTCAGTTTTCGTAAAATGAGTCCATTAAAGACCCTGAGAGCACTAGGAGCGTCCACCAGAGTGTCAGAGGAGTGGCACCAGATGTAAGGCTCCACCTGTCACTGTCACAGGTTTGCACAAAGACGCAGAAGCCAAGAGCAGCAGGTGCGGAGCCAGCAAGACCTGGGGTGCCCTCACCTCGCCCTCTGGCGTTGGGCGACAGCTGAGAGCGCCAGGGCTGGGGTGGGGGCTCTGCGCTCGCTCTCTCCACCCCACCCACCTCCACGTGCAGCTGGGGGCTCTGCACCCCCAATCTGCAGCCCTCCCTGGGGTTCAGCCTCATCCCCTGTCTTTCTCCAATCGCAGGATTTACCCCCGTAGACCCGGGGCGAGCCAGGATTTAGCCTTAAGCTGTTCACCAGCTGCCGCCTTTGGACTGAAAGGCTCTCCCTGTCCCTTCTGGCTGGAGAACGCTGGTGTGGGGCGGCCCTGGAGAAGCCAGGCCCCCCCGCACGCAGCACCCACTGCCCCTGCGGTCCCACACCAGTCCCCTTGGCCTCCTTGGCCCTCTCCTGGGGGCCCACTCGGACCGCCCGCTTTGTCCACTCATTCATTCCCTGGGCGGCGCTGGTTCCCAGGGCGGGTCCACACCACCCCCTGTCACCCTGCGCTAGCCACCGGGTGCACTGGGACCAGGGCCTGGGCCGGGTGAGGAAGGACTCTGCCCTCCTCAGCTGGGGACACAGGACTGCACCTCAGGGCATCTGCTTCGTGAGGCCTCCCCGTGCCTCCTGGATCGGGCCAGGACAAGCCAGGCTGTGCGCGGGAGAGGCTGCAGGAGGGGTGGGCTCTGGGTGGAGGGGACAGAGCGCTCCAATCCACACTGCTCCTGGACTAGGCCGGGGCTCTGGAAATGCCAGTGGTGGCCACGCAGGTGACAGGGGGTGGGCCATTGAGGGCAGTGCCTGAGGCCACGGGCCTGGGCCTTACCTGGGTCTTCATCTCCCCAAGGCAAGGACGGTCCAGCTCTGGAGGATTCGGGTCTAGGCGCCGGGAGCCCCGTGGACCACAAGCTGAGTCAGAGGAGCGAAGGCAAAAAGAGGCCGTGGGGGGCTGGGAAGGAGAGGAGGGGACAGGAGCTACTGGGAAGCCTGGCTTCACCTCCCCGCCAGGCCCCCGCGCAGATGGCCGATGTCTCTGTTTGCCCAGGGCCATCCTGATTTTAGCGCTGAGAGTCCTACCTTCCCAGAGAGCCCTTCCTCAGTCACCAGCAAACGGGGAGAGCTGCCACCAACCTGCCCCCCTGGAGTTCCTCCCCCCTCCAGCCTGCTCAGAGACACCCCTGCCAGGCCCTCGGGCACTGGCCAGGCTTACCTTCTTCCAGGAGGCCTGAGAAGGACAGGGCAGTTCAGGCCCCCCAACGTGATGCCCTGTGCTCCGGGGACAGGAGAGGCCCTGCCCCAGCTCTCCAGGGACGGGCAGATGTGGCATCTGATTTCCCCAGCGCTAATCCCCCACCCGCACCCCAGCAAGCGCCTCTGCCAAGGGGATTAGTGCTGGGGTCCCCAGTGACAGGGAAGGAGGCAGACCTGTCCTGCTGGGGAGAGATGGACGAACCACGTGACCGGAGATACTCTAGGATGGAGGTCAGAGGAGCAGGAACACTCTGTCCGGAAGGAGTCCCTGCCCAGCCCCGTGTGGAAGAGAGGTGGCAGGTGGCAGCTGCAAGGTGGGTCCCACAGGGCTTCCTGGACCCTGTCCCAACCCACAGCAGCTCCTCGTGCACCTCTGAGGTTTGAAGCCTCGTGTTGAAACCTTCAGGTAACTGGGTTCAAGTCCCGGGTCTGTCACGGCCTGTGACCCCGGGGGAAGCACAGTCTCTGTGTTTCTTCCTCTGGAAATCAGGGGTCATAACAGGAACACCCGGGTTGGAGTGAGGATTACATTAGAGCGTGCTTGTGGAGCAGGCAGCCCAGGACCTGGCACCTAGAAAGGGCTCCGTAAAGGTCAGCTTCGCGCTCTGACTTGGCTTCTGTGCTCCACTGCTGCCCAGCCCCTGTGGGAGAGAGAGCTCTCGTGGACATTCTGGAGTTGCACATCTGTTGATTTTAGTTGACACCAAAGATAAAGATCAACATACTTGCCTTGTTAGCCCTAGACAAGGCCGCGCGCGGGAATTACCTGGGGGGGGGGCTTTTTAAAACCACTGGTGTTTGGGTCCCGGGTTCTCAGGACTGTAGCCCAGACATCACAATGTGTGCAGGGTCCTCGGTGATTCTACTGTGTGCCAGGGTTGAGAACCATGGCCCCAGGCCCGTGTGCCCCCAACTTCACTGCACATGGGACCCTCCAGGGGTTCTAAGCGGGTGGTCAGGGTGGGACAGTCTCCATTTCTGGCCATCTCCCAGGCGATGCTGATGCTGGCCTGGGGACCACACTTTGAGGAGCAAGACTCCTTGGCAACTGATGGATTCCCATCAGCCCCCTCATTATAATCTCCTTTGGCTGCGCTCAGAGCTGGGTTTGTGAACGGGCCGAGGCAAACCTGGACCTTCTGTGGCCCCCTTGTCCAAACAGCTGAATGATTTTTCTGGAACTCTCCTTTGTGCGGCTGGTGAATCAGGCTCCGAGATGGGAAATGAAAGATCACACAGCAGGTTTAGTGATGGGGATGGTGCTAGGACCCAGGCCTTTTCCATCCTACCTGGCTTCTGGGTTAGCTGTCACCGCAGCTCAGAGAGGCCTGTGCAGTCAGCCTCAAGGTCAAGGGTATTGACAATGTGCACACACAGAGACGAGTGCTGCCTGGGACTGTTGTCCCACGGAGCAGGTTTTATCCTGTCCCGTTTTACTTCCAAGGAAACTGATGCGTGAGGTCTCCAGGAAGTAGGAGGACTGAGATTTGGACCCAGGAGTCTCCCAGACAGGGGGGCCTCCGATCTTTTGTTCCCATCTGTGAGGTCCCATGAAGCAAGAACTGCATCTTAAAGCTGATGCTGACTGGCTCAGTTAACCCCCTGCAGGGCCCTGAGCCCCCAGCTCAGGATGCCCTCCAGGACTTTCTGGGGGGTCCTCCTTTGTTCTTGCCCTGTCTCTGGAAGCAGCCAATTTTCCCCTTGGACAGCAGCCCCGGTCCTGGCAAATTTAGCCAGACCGGAATCGCAGCCTGTCATACAGCAAGATGGCCACACGGTGGCAGCAGATGCCCACCTGTAAAGCCGTGGGTCCCTCCTTCAAGGGACCCTTTACTGGAAGGTGCTCTTCCGCCACACCCACACCCGGCGCCTTCCATCCACCAACCAAGACCATCCCCCACACCAGCCAGGTAGGAAGCCATCATTCATCCTCATGGAGACTAGAGACCGTGTTCATCCTTTGCTGAACTCCCATGGCTGCCGCCTGTTCTTTTGAACAATTCCAAATCCTTTAATGTTACTCCCTTTAATGTCATGGACCTGCTCTTCCAGGGAGAAGGCAATTGTCACCATCCTTAACATCAGGGTTGTTAAGAAAGAAGAATGTGGCTGAAAAGGAAAGAGAAGTTAAACTTGAACAAAGAAAATTATGTTCCCAAAAGATACATTGAGATACCGAGCATTTCCCCCATTTGGGCTTTGATTCATTGACTCCCCAGTAGCTCAGTTCACAGTCATTGAACATGCGCTTCCCGTCTGGGTCTGGGGAAGGGGACAATGGCCAGGCAGACCTAGTAACGGATATTGTCAACACATGTTCACTGAGCACCTACTTGGGGCTGGACACTGTTCGGGTGCTTCTGGGATACCAGCGAACAACACAGGCAGCCATCCCTGGCCTCAGAGAGCTTGACCCTGGCAGGAGCAGCAGGTGCATAAATTAAGTGGTGTGCTAGACAGTGAAACATGCCGTGGAAAAACAAGTAGAGCTGGGTAGGAGGGATAGATTATAGTGTTAAATTGCCTGGCTGGGAGGGGCCTCACTAAGGGTTCACAGTTTAGTTTTGGTTTTTTTAGGGTATTTTTTAATATTTATTTTTTAGTTTTCGGAGGACACAACATCTTTGTTTGTATGTGGTGCTGAGGATCAAACCTGGGCTGCACGCATGCCAGGCGAGCGCGCTACCGCTTGAGCCATATCCTCAGCTCCTCGTTCACAGTTTTTAAAACTGAAAGTCCAAACAGCATGGTGAGCTCCCTTACTGTGTAAAATCATCGTGCATGAATCATGGCAGGAACGCAAATGTCAGGGAAAGATCACATGAGGAGACAGAAAGCCAGAGAGAGGCAAGGTACTCACCAGGGTTCCCCGGAACTACACTGACTCTTTCAAAGGACAGCACCCCCGCTGACCCAATCACTTTGCACTAGAGCCTGCTCTTAAAGGCTCCACCACTTGCATGCCTGTATTCCCAGCTACTCCCAGGCTGAGGGAGGAGGACCACAAGTTGAAGGCCAGCCTGGGCAATTTAGTGAGACCCTGTCTCAAAATAGAAAATAAAAAAGGGCTGGGGGTACAGATAGTGGAGTAGCACCCCCTGGGTTCAATCCTCACTACTACAAAAAAAAAAAAACACAAAACCACCATGTGCCAACATCACCACCCTGGAGGTCAAGATTCTAGCCCATGGACTCAGCAGGGGTCAGGCACAGACCATCTCTGGCTTCTGTGTTGAGACGGGTGGGGGGCAGGGAGTCCGGTTAAGAAGCTGCCATGCATGTTCTGGTGAGAGCCAGTGACCGGGACCAGCAGCAGGTGTGAGCTTCAGAGGCTGACGTTCTTGAAGGTGCAGCTGGGGGATCTGTGCTGCGTGGGAGTTGGGTGCGGAGCAGGAGGGCGGTGGGGAGAGGCTCCACGGTTGCTGTCCTGTGCAGCTGGGAGCAGGGAGGGGGCTTTCCCTGCAAGCCAGGGACGTGGGGAGCGGGCGAGGGAGGACCCCAAGTTCAGGGCTGGCCACATGAACGGTGAAATGTCAGGGTGAAGCTGGGAAGCCGGCGGGCGGGCACCTGCATCTGGAGCTGAAAGGTGGGTACCAGAAGGTGCGATCTAGAAAGTGTCTGGCCTGTGACATGAGATGATAGTCAAAGCTATCACCAAGGAGGTGAGATGGAGAGAAGGAGGAAGCTGAGGACTGAGCCCAGAGGCCCCTGGAAAGGTGGATTCCACCAGGTCTCTTGGCCCAAGCAGCCTTCACTGGGACAACGCAGAGGCAGAGGGTCGGAGCTGACCAGGCCTGGGGACCTCCAGCCTCTCCTTGTGCGGCGCTGGAAACAGGCAGGACGTGGCTGGAAACGCCAGCGTGTGCCCTGGAAGGGAACCCCTCTTGCCACTCGACCTTTATAGGCAAGTGTAAGGTCAGTCTCCCCAGCAAAGCACCTGGCCTGAGCTCAGGGAACCACCCGCAGTGCTGAGGGCACCTGAGACCCTGTGGGAGGTAGAGACTGGCTGGACTCACTTCTGCTTTAGGGATGGAGCCCCTGAAGACCCCCCTCCAGGTTCTAGAGCCCCCAGAACCTGGAAGGAGCCCCCAGGGTCTCCAAAAGGATGCAAATTGTCTGACACCAGATCCACCCGCTGGCTGAGGGGTTCACCACACGTAAGCCCCCCTACAGGAGTGGCAACCCTCAGGGCTGACGGCAGGGATCAGTGGTTGCTGGCAAAGCTGGAGGAGACTTTGGAGAAACAGAGAGGCCTGGAGGCGTAGCGCAGAGGCACAGCCTGAGCCCTCTGGCCCTGGAGGCCAGGTCACGTCTGAGGAAGGAGCCGAGGCTCAGCCAGGGGTGCAGCCCCGAGCCTCTGGGCTTCTCCTGCAGTTGCTCCCTGGGCTTCCTGACTTGGCCCAAGGTGACATTGCCAGTGTGGCTACTCTGTCATCTGGCCAGCAAATAGTCCCCAGCTACAGGGCTATCCAGCACAAGCTGAGCTGGCGATTCATGGTGACCTCCTTGGCAGGGAGAGCCCTGGCTGTCGCTGTGGTGATTTCCTCCAAGATGGCTGAGCCACTGTGGATCGTGGAGTCCACCTACCTGTGGGAGGACCATCTGCGGAAATGGTGAAGCCCACACAGACCAGGCGGGAGAGTCACAAAGCTATCAGGAAGTTGTGTACGCAGGTAGCCCTATGTCCAAGGAAGGAACTATACCCAGGGCCCAAAACAAGTGGTTCCGCCCCAGTGAAGGCTGCTTGGGCCGCGTGACCTGGCGGAATCCACCTTCCCGGGAACTGACCTCTCCGGGGCCTCTGGGCTCAGTCCTCAGCTTCCTCCTTCTCTCCATCTCACCTCCTTGGTGATAGCTTTGACTCTCATCTCATGTCACAGGCCAGACACTGTCTAGATTGTACCTCTGAAATGTGGTTCAACATCTTTTGCCAGCCTGCCCCAGTACCAGCCACGCCAAGGACGGGAACGTGGTCACACAGGCCCCAAGACTCAGAAGTTTCTGCCACTGTGGCCACCTGGGAGTAGTGGTCAGAAAGGTAGACACCCTCGGATCCCCTATAGCTGGGCATGGTGGGTGGGGTAGTGGGGGGGATGTATTCAGGACTATAGGTTCTGCGTCCCAGGCAGCTGCCAGAGGCTATTCAGCAATGCCCATCCACATCTGGAAGAGGGTAGGAGGTTATTTGACCCTCCCACGTGGTCTACTCTGAGACCCTCCACCTGGTCTGCTTCGTGAGACTGCTTGCATGTGTTCCTGCTAGATCAGCTGCGGTCTGTCCTGCCCCCAGACCTGCCAGATAGTCTGTACTTGTTCTAGAGTGTTGGCCTCATAGGAACCTGCCAGTCTCCATTCTGACCCCAAAGGTAACCTCTGGGGAATCACGGAAGGTGGCCCCAGGGCAGAGGAGACCTATTGCACAAGCAACCACAGCCTCAGAGGAGATGGTGGGAACGGGACT